TTTGAATTTTGCATGTCATTAACGGTTAACTTCCTAGTCATATATTAACAATTTAGTAGTTACTTTTAATGCTTAATATGCCTAATTATATATTAATAATACGGGAGTTTACTTTATTTCAGGTTTTTACTTGTTTATATTCTCGTTCTCCTGGTGTAATTAATATCTATTTATTATATACATAAACACATAAATTTCAATCAAGTATCAATTCAGAGCAGTGTGGCCTGTTATCTGATTTATTGCTTATAATTTTATTTTATTTTGTATAACCCTATTAAGTTGGCATGCTGGTTCAAAGGTGTTTTCTCTATTATTTGTATATTATATTTTCCTTATTACTGCCTAGTTCTAAGTTAACAGTTATTAAGATGTAATTATTAATGTTGGTCTGATTAAGATGTGATATGGCGAAACCCTATTACGGTTGATCTTTAGTACTGATTATCTGTTATTATCCTACTAAGGGTCAGTTATTATTATTGTTTGTATTATTTATTGTTATTGTAGGTGCTTCTAATTTTTTTCTTGTCTACGATATCACCTTAGGTGGAAGTGGACGTAAAACTCTAGAAACGAACGACGAAAGCTTCTATTTTTCTTAATGGTTTCTTTTGATTATTAATTAAGTTGGTGTAAGCCAAAATATGTATAAATAGGCTGACTAGATGGATATTTATCATTAACTTAAAAACGTGACCTGTATGTGTTACGAAACGTCATTATTAAATATATATCCATATATACCTTGTGTTGTGTTTTGTTATGAATATGGTGATATGTACGGCAACCAGTTACATGTTTTTAGTATGCTTCTTCAAGTTTGTGTATCTCAAAATTTTTAGTGCAAAGACATGACCATTTGTTCCTCTGTCTGCAGTGAAAAGCACTCAGCCCAACGAAAATTTGGGGAAAAGTTGGAGGTGGGCAAAGAGGCCAGAATTAACATTGAAGTCAATGGGGAAATTAATCGTGGTCTGCCTCCGTATAAAAAAAATGATGAATTACCCCCCCCCCCTTTATCACCAATAGAATCCTTTTCTCCACCCAATTGGATAAGGCAAAGTGCTTAAATGACTTCTTTATCAACCAGTCACAACTTCACACAGCCAATGCACAGCTTCCAGAACTTGAACATAACCCAAACTCACTCTGTAATATAACACTAACACCTCAAGAAGTTCTTGTCATTAGATACCTCTAAAGCTACTGGGACTGGGCCTGATTACATAAATGACAAGTTATTAAAACCCATCTCATCTGAAACATTTATCCCTTTATACAATCTATTTATTCTCCCCCTTTCGACAACAAGCAGCTGCCAGGCAGGATATGCCCACATTTTGCAAGAGATGGATAGAGAACAAGCTAAAATCAAAAACGATTTTTTGTAAAATCAGAGGCCATAATCCAGAAAGTATTGGTCTGAAATGCGCAAATATCAAAAGGGACTGAGATTTTTGGAATATAAAGATATGTTTAAAGTAGGATAAAAATTGTGACCTCTAGAGGATACATAACCTTTGTATTACATACTTATACACAATTTGCGTACAAAGAGCGGCCATTTTCATTCTCCTAAAATTCCAATTCAACCTTCCTAAGAACGTCCCTGCTGGTGTACCACATGGCTCTGTCCTCTGTCCGTAAACCAGCAGGGACGTTCTTTGGATTAGAGAAAACTCCACTTACACCGACGCTTTGCTTTCTGTTATACAAATAATATATATATAGAAATGATATCATTAAGGACATAAAATCAAATTAATTCGACTTTTTGCGGATGACACCAGCATATATCTAAAAAATTAATGACCCAACCGCATGCACGACTGTCTCAAATAGCTATCTTGAAAAACGTGGCTGGTTTCCTTTAATCCTATGAAAACTGAATCACTTGCACTGACTACTAAACGAGACCCACTGTTACCTAAACTAAATCTAGACGGAATTCCTATTAAAGAAGTTTATCAACACAAGCAATTGGGATTGACTTTTCAGAAAAACTGTAAATGGGACAAATACTTTAACATTATTTTGACTAAAACGAGTAGAATGATTGTCATAGGTCTTTAAAACACTGCCTTAACAAAAATAGCTTGAGAACTATATAATATACCTCTTTTATTCTTTCACATTTTGACTATTGTGACGTAATATGGGATGGGTGCACAGGCGAACTAAAATTTGAATTAGAACATTTACAACTAGATGCACTCGGGACTATAAGTATTGCAGTAAAGGGTACCAGTCATAGGTTATTATATGAAAAAAACAGGATTTATCACTCTGCAAGAGTGGCGAAGGCATCACAAACACATCTTAATGTCCAAAAGTACTTATTAAAATCAACTAACTCCTCCATACCTCCACAATTTAATTCAGTTTTCCAAAACTCCTTATAGTCTTCGCAATAGCAATAATTTAACTGATTACTTTTGTCAAACAACTTTATTTTCTAAATCCTTTATACCTTCTACCATAAAAGAATGGAATAACCTTGATCTAAGTATTAAAAATTCGACCTCTATAAGTATATTTAAAACTAAAATAATTGATAAAGATAAAAATATACCTCCTTATTTCAACTTTGGCAAAAACACACCCACAGCAGCTAAATAAATCGTCTGGGCAGTCAACAAGAGTTGACGCATATTTTTACTTTTTTCGGTAATGAAATATTTATAATACACTAAAATCTGATTAAGAGTGAGTTATCAGAAAATCATTAGAATTTGTTTGATTTTTATAAAGTTCTACTCCAGGCTAACATTTAGTATATGAAACATTTAATATCATGGATTTTGCTCTTCAAGTTATCAAAATTCATTGAAAATCAATATACTTGTTCGTCTCAAGGCCTTAAACTCTGTGTATCAATCTGAAGTCGATCGGGATGATAACTTTAGCCTCTAGAGCGTCACAAGATTTTTCAAAGTGATCAAGGGCCATAACTTTGGCAGTAATTATCGGAAATCCTTGAAAATCAATAGGATTTATCGTCTCATGACCTCAAACACTGCGTATAAATTTAAAGTCAATCAGATATTAACTTTAGCCTCTAAAGTGTCCACAAGATTTTTGAAAGTGATCAAGGGCCATAACTCTGGCAATAATTATCGGAAAACGGTGAAAATCAAAGGGCTTCTTTGTCTCATAACCTTAAGTCAATCGGATATTCACTTTAGCCTCTAGAGCGTCCACAAGATTTTTTGCAGTGATCAAGGGCCATAACTCTGGAAGTAATTATCCAAAATCGCTGAAAATCAATAGGATTCTTCGTCTCATGACCTTAAACACTGTGTATAAATTTACAGTCAATCGGATATTATCTTTAGCCTCTAGAGCATCCACAAGATATTTTGAAGTGATCAAGGGCCATAACACTGGCAGTATTTATCGGAAATTGTGAAAATCAATAGGCTTCCTTGTCTCATGACCTTAAACACTGTGTATAAATTTACAGTCAATCCGATATTAACTTTGGCCTCTAGAGCATCCAGAAGATATTTTGAAGTGATCAAGGGCCATAACTCTGACAGTAATTATCGGAAATCGCTGAAAATCAATATGCTTCTTCGTCTCATGACCTTAAACACTGTGTATAAATCTAAAGTCAATCAGATATTAACTTGAGCCTCTAGAGCGTCCACAAAATTTTTTGACATGATCAAGGACCATAACTCTGGCAGACGGGGGCGACAACAAAATACGACGACATTTCAATGTGGCCGTATAAAAATCAAATATTACATAGTCGTGACCTAAATGGGCATAAATTTTTAAGGCATATTTCGGACAGCCCCGAGTGTGATTGCGTTTATTCCTTTGAAGATACTGAACATTTTCTTTTACATTGCTCCTCACATTCTGATGCAGGCAAAATATCTGTAAATCTTTTACCACCTAATTTTATCAATACACATAATCTGTCATACGGTGTAAGCAGCAGTCATATGTTGTTAGCCATCTTTGAAAGGTCCACATGTTTTTTGACAGAAGCAGTTTTTATGATCAGTGTAACATCTATATTGATCAAAACGCGAACATTAACAACTGCGTAGCCAATGTGTAAATATGTATATACAAAATGTTGTTGATTAAGTATCCATTGTATTGTTTTGTTGTTTACTCACTTATTTCTTTTACATATCCATATTAATATTTTCACTCCCGTTGATGTAGATTTTTCACTATTTTTCATATTCAATTCAAAATGGTGACCATCAGTTGACCTAAATCAAAATTGTGCTCTGAACGTCTTTTTAGGCATTCCTTCAAGAATTCAGAAAATGTACCTTCCACGTCTGTAAGTAAAATATCGCAAAAGCCTTGGGAAATTTTGACATTTCAAGATGGTGGCATTTCCTGTTCAATAGACAGACTTCATATTTTGTGAACGCATTAGTATTTTCTTAGCTAATACAGAATTTTTTTTTAAGGCAATCTGACCTACTTTTTGTTGATTTTTTTTAAAACTTTTGATCCTTAATTTCTCTAAGTCGCATTAGTAAGATCTACTTTCATTCCATGAAAAACGAGCTAATATTTAAGCAGTTGTCAAATTCGCCTCAAATTCCGCGACGAAATCACAGTGACGAATTTTTGAAATACGGAGGTACTCAAAGAAAAAAGAATTAGTAAAATAGGTAAAAAAAACCCAAGTTATGACTATGCATTGTTAGCTTTTTCTTTACTAAAATTGGTAATTTCAGTTTCGTATGATGTTTTGAAAATATCATATTAAAAGAAAAGCCACCACCCATTCTTGGGGGGATAGGTCAAAGTTTAAGCAGAAAGATCCTATGGTTAGATTCTGAGATCTAAGATTTGCAGGGAAAAAAAAAAAAAAAGAGAATAATAATCTTAACACAAAGCTTTCATATGAAATTAATTAACACTGGATGAAATATTTCTTCCTTTCAATGACCTATTTGTTAATAGTCATCTAATGTAATATCAATTTTTAAAAACACAATAAATATTCATTTGAATCAAAATATATTTACTGACTTTAATAAGTTAATTATATACCATACCATATTTAATAAAAATAAATAAATAATTATAACAATGCTGTAACATACATGGTTATAGTTTAACAAGACCATTTAAGCCATAGAACGTACTGTGAATTGATATACAAGGGTTGGCTGAAAAGTTCTAAGCCTGAAAAGGATAGATCAAGTGGGTTGAAACAACCTTTTTTCACCAACAAGTAAAATCATGGAATGAGATAGAAGAACTGTAACTGTTGTGTTATTATTGTCTTCTTACCAGAACATCTTGTTGATATCACCAGGAATGGACAAAACTGGCTATTGGGCAGTCATCAAGTACCTGTAACTGAAAGGACTAACCCTAACACAGATACACACTCACATGGTCTCCACTTTAGGGGATGATTCCCCTTCCTTTTCCACAGTAAAGAAGTGGGCTGCAGAATTTAAGCATGGCAGAAAGATCCTTGACATTGACCCACGTCCTGGAAGACCATCAACAGCAACCATTCAAGAAAACATTAAATGGTGATGGCTGATCGATAATGCATGTGTTGTGGGCATCTCTCATTGAGAAGGTTGAGCACATTATCACGAACGACAAAGGGAATGACAAACGTTTCTGTAAGATTGGTGACAAAGCTTTTGACTGCGGATCAGAAACATGTCAGATTCCTGACAATCTACACCAAAATAAGTGGAAACCATCTACTTTGTACAGATCTTTCACAGATAGGCTTAGAACTTTTCTGCTAACCTTCAAAAGTTGACTGAAGTAGCATATGTCTAAGATTAAAATTGCTTTATATTAATACTGAATTCAAGGTACGCTTGAATACTTATGTTTCTAGATGATTAATTTTGTCAAAAGCAGATATGCTATGATACAGGTTTATGTCCCATTAACATAAATACTGGCCATACTATCTGGATAGTTTTCTCTTCTTCAGCCCCGGATTCATCTTTTACTGTGTATAAATCTTTAAACCTAGTAAATATATAATTACAGAAATATAATTGAGGAAATTCAACAAAATGAGATTAATTATCAACTCGATCTACTCTGATTTCAAATACCAACTGTTAAGGGTTCATTTATGTGCAAGCAAATGTGTACACCATCCGAACAACTATTGTACCTTGACATACACCTCTGTCCTGCACCACTGACAAGGGGGAACCAAGCCTGAAAATCCCCATGAACTTTCTCAGCCAATACAGGGATCGAACAAAGGACCTCCCAACCAACACCTATCTTACTGAGCCACCACAGCCCCCCTGAGTAACAATATTATAACCAATCATATATCTCACCTATCAGATAATTTCTGGAGTTCATTTGATGTAGGATATTCTTTAAGGTAAGAATGCCAAGCAGACCATGTTGATAAATAACCAACAAACTCATCCACACCCCATTCTACAGTTATATTCAAATCATCATTTCTATCATAAAAAGAAAAAAAATTTACAAAATATAATTTAAAGCTTATGATGTACAAGGGAGGTAACTCCAACTATATGTACAAAAGACTTAGAATTGTAATATCTCCCCATTGACTTCAATGTTAAATCCATGTCATTCTTTGTCTATGCCAATTTTCTCAATGTCACAATCATCTGATAATAATATTGAATGAAGTTGACCATTCCGATATTTTGTTACACCCGTTCAAAGGAATCTATAATCTCATATATTTTTTTTGGACATGACTTTTAACCAAAACCTGAAGAAAATGTAAATTTAAACATTCTTCTCCGTTTCTATACCAAAAAAGTCAACAATAAAATGTCATGAAAAAGGGCGAAAGACAGAATTGCTATATTATATAGACACACTAAGACAGCCCCGAAAGCAGGGTATGTTTACATTTTCTAAACACCAGACACCATTAATTTCTAAATTGTTTTTAAAGTTTGCATAGCTAACAATTCACATTGAATTTTGTATTAAATACTTTTTTTTACCTGATCCATCCTCCAAAGGGAAGACTATAGTCTCTATAATGACATTCTATGTGTTTTCTTTTTTCATCCCAGTAGTTACCAAGGGTACCATTATAAAACTACAATTCAACAGTTAGAACCCATTGATTTATTATCATACAGTTTAATGTTATTTGCAGTGAGGACATTGGCTCGCTAACCTGGGGGTCCCATGTTTAAGAGTTCATCTGGATTTTCTGGCGTGGTTTCCCTTTCTCAGAATGGAGGGCCTTGCAAGGGACAATATATAGTCGCTTGGATGAGACAAAAAACGAGGTCCTGTGTACACATTGGCCAATCTGATTAAAACACAGATCCTAGTTCGTTTCGTTTTTTATAGTTCAAAATTTTGTTTTACTTGCCTTTACTACGCTAGGATCTGGAAGTGTTGTTATATTACTGGCGTTCTGGTTGAAGTGAGGGATTAGCCAATGAAATGATGTGTTACGGCTAGTTCTTGATGTGCGATCCACGGAAATGTGTATAAACCACTAGAAACGTCAAGGTTGATTGATTAATCAATGCCTGACGTCATAGGGTCAAAAGCCACTTGTACAACCCCTGATGCGACCTTTCAGTACAACCGGTCAGAACTTCATGTAGTGTCGGCCAGTGAAAGTAGAAAAAACGGAACAAAATATAGATCTGTATTTTAATCAGATTGCACATGTATGTAAAAGATCCCTTGACAGTTAGAACCTGAAATAAGAGAAGGCCATTGTGCCGCTGTCAGGGCAAAATTTCCCACAAAGTACACTGTATGGCATATGCTCAGCTTCATCTCCATTAGCAGAACAGCCAGACGTTTATTTAAACGGTTGTCTAGGCCAATACACACATGATCTATCTACGTTTAATTTATCGGCCTTTCTTTCAACGCAAGCATTTATTAACATATGCATTCCTCTATAATTAATTTAGTAACCTTGTCCAATTCAGCTTGCGCCTCTACATTATCCATAGTATTTAAACCATAACCATATACAACCAAACTACCCCCTGGTTTAAGAACTCTTGTTACTTCTTTATAAAATTTATTGGTATCGACCCAATGTATAGCTTGAGAAATGGTAATTAAGTCTGTTGAATTATTTGACAGGAAACTTAAATCTTCTGCTGGGCTGACACGAAATGTTAAATTCTTTACACTCTTTGGAGCTTTTTCAATTTGTTTTGGACTAACGTCTAAACCAATGACATGCTTAAATGATGAACACAGTGGAGTTGTACTTTGACCCGAGCCACATCCTACATCAACTGCCAAGTCAAAATCGCATTTTCCTGATTTACAAAAATCTATGATGGCATCGTACACTGATTTGCCATATTTTGGTCTAAATCTAGCGTATAATTCTGCATGTTTCGCTGCTTCAAAAAGTCTTGTACCCATGAAAACAATTATTATTTGCCTAATTTATCGGTAGAACGAAAGAAACTTTGTTTAGGAAACCAATTCAATGCGAGTTATCTTTCCATTTATACAAATTTTGACTTTATTTGTGGAGTATGTAAAAAGGGAGACTATTCTCCCAAAGGAAGGATTCAGACTGGCAATTAGTATTTGGGAATAGTATTTTCTAGAAAAGGCACTTTTCATGTTAATAAATCTAGAATTGTCCAACAAGCCAGAAAAGCTATGTTTTATGTAATACGTAAAGCTAGAAAACTATATTTACCAATAGATATATTATTACAATTATTTGATGCTATGATTGCTCCTATATTGTTGTATGGCGCAGACAGTTGGGGTTATGAAAATAATGATATAATTGAATCATTGCATTTAGAATTAATGAAAGTAAAAAAAAAGTACACCTAATTGCATTGTCTATGGAGAACTTGCTAGAGTGCCTATGTGCGTTAGTATTAAGGCGAGAATGGTTGGTTTTTGGAAACGTCTCGTCACTGGTAAAGAGGAGAAAATATCTCGTACATTATATGAAATATTGTATCGACTTAATTGAGGGGATGTTTATCACTCTTAATGGTTAAATTGTGTTAAAGATATATTAACTGAATGTGGCTTTGTTAATGTCTGGAATAATCAAAATGTAGATCCGAATTGTAACTTGTCTAAAAATGTGAAACAGTTTTACCATAATTTGTTTGTAAATGATTGGAAGGCTAAAACGTTCAATTCAGCTAAATGTTTAAACTATAGGATGTATAAATCTGAGTTTGGCTTGGAAAATTATTTAACAGCACTGCCTTTTGATTTAAGTCTTAATCTATGTAATTTTAGATGCGGTAGTCATAGATTACATATTGAATGTGGTAGATTATATAGCATTGCTAGATCAGAAAGAGTTTGTGATTTATGTAACAATGAAGAGCAAGGGGACGAATTTCATTATATATTTAACTGTACCTTCTTTAATTTTGAACGACAGAAGTTTTTACCTGCAGATAAATGTAAAATTAAAAATACAATGGATTTCTCTGAATTAATGAATAGTATAGACAAGTTTGTTCTTATTGGTTTAGCTAAATTTTGTTAAATTGTTATGTCTGTCTTCAAAGAATAAGGTAAATTACCTTCCCACTTAATATATGTTTTTTCATGCATTATACTAATTGTTGAATTTTGTTAAATTATTGTACTATCATGCCTCATGTGAGGCCTTTAGTGAAATAAAATATTTCATGTTTCATGTTTCAAATGTTTCAAATATTTGCCCATTGACTTCAATGTTAAATGGCTGTAACATCACAGGCTTTAGCTATTTGCTCAACATTCCGTTGGTTCCAATCTTTATAGGCACAATGGGGACCACATTTGGCAATATCCTCATCATAAATTTGTATGGGGTTGACCATTTAGATTTTTTTGCTACGCGGATTTGATGTTGACAGGGGTGAAAATCTCACTTCCGACACAATGATTGCTCTGCAGAAAGACACTTTACACCCCTTATCCTTCCGCTGTAATATCATCAGTATTACCCAAAACTACTATGAAATTGCAAATTTGATCCCTTTTCTCCAATTCTAGACCAAAAAGTCAACCCAAAAATACAGGAAGAGGGGAGAAAAAAAATTAAGGGAAAAATTGTCTATTTTTAACTCGCACTACGAAATAAGGGGAAATAATTACTAGTCTTAGTCCGGAAGGAGGAATTCGACTGCTAATTCTCTTTTCATTGACTGGAACAATTTTTGAACTTTCTGCTGATATATTCTTTATAGACTCAATGCTTGATGTTTGTATTTCATACAAAAACAACAGTCATAACGCAAAGATAGATTATAGGATTTTATTTTTTAATTTGCATTAGTTAACAGAAAATAAAACAAGCAATTCCACAGGGGAAAAAGTTAGAATTTCTTTTGTTCAAAAAGGTTCTGTATCAACCGGATATAAATTTCACTAAATTCAGATTCATGGTAAGCAGGTAAACACTTGTAGCTGAAAATATATTCATTACAAAAAATAACTATAATTTCCAAATATGGAAAAATAACTTTTATAAATAGTAAACCAACTAAGTGCATTCGCATAAAAGGGAAATTACTTTAAATTTACAAAGATAAATTTGTCAAGTGAAAAATAGAATACCCCCGCATGTTGAAAGGCGAGAACGGCTATTGCGTAAACAAAAATTATTGTGGCTTCTATTGTAATATTATAATGGGATACTAATTATGTCAATTCTTTGATTTCCATGCCTAAAGATCGATCATTTTGATCCAGGAACATCGAGGGCAACATGTTATATAAACACATTTCAACCTTTATTTCAACTCAAATAATAAAAAAGCTTACTGGCCTTCTGTTGAACCTTGTCTTTTAAGGGTAAAATAGTATTTTTTGAAAATTTCTAAGGACATTTTGACAGTATAACATAATATTGTGCTAAACGTTAAAACAATATAAAAGCATAATCTAAATTCTTTGGTCATTTAAAGTAAATTTGTAATAAACGTACATCATCTACATCACCGATAAGATTAGAATCACCCGGTATAGCAAAACGTCCAAGTAACAGAGCTGTTTGTCGTTTAGAAATATCACCAATTCGGGGCGCTTCTACGGATTCCCCGTCCACTTCTAATCGAACTTTTATACCATCATATCTCAGTAACAGATCAACCCATCCACCCTTAAATGGAAAATTAATTTATGTATTATGGTGTTATGATATTATTCAAATGTGTGGACTGGCATTAAATATACATTCCCCCGAGTTTATATTTTAGCAAATGACATTTGTTATTTAGAGAAAAATAAAATATCAGCCTGAAAGTGAATAATATCCTCATAATAATAAAATAAAGAAATTCAACTCTGTTAACTAGCCCAGTGTCATTACAGAAATGTATATCATATGTGATATTAAACATGCATTATCCAAAAGCTAAATCTGCCTATTTTAGATCTTTCTTCAGGCTTGAAATGTTATCTAAATTATTAATTAGACATTAATTAACGTATCCAGATCATAATCAACTCTCGATGTTATCGCTAGCCTGCAATATTTACTGGATTGGGATCCGATTTGCTGCTCAACTTTCATTCATGATTTAATCATGAAATGTATAATCCAGACTATGTTTATTATCGTACCGATTGTAGTAATGATGATCGAGGCTAGGCCGAAAATTCAATCGCTAAATTGTCGGTTCAGAGTGGATAAATTTGACTGAAATTTTCAGCAAATTCCCTCTACGTTATCTAGTTTTTAACTGTTTGAGTGAGAACTGACAGCTCTTTATCTAATCTCCCATAATGTATTTTAAATAGTTTTATTGCAGAGTGCCAGATATGCCCTCACTGATACCAAGTGATTGATAGTCAAGAAAGAAAATCTAGAATCGCTTTCCAGAATGTCTTACGGGTCCAGATTTGATTGCACGGACGACCGACATGCTCTGTTGAGATTTGACAATAACCGCTATTTTGATTCCAAAAAATTCACACCACCTGACGATTTCACAGAATCATGCTTCTTTATTCAGAATTGAAAATCTTTAGGAAGCAAACAAAATGAAATCTGAAAAGAATCTAGACTTGGATTCACAGATTCATTGTAGTTTGGACATATTGTCCAATCGATGGCTACATATATGTAGCAATCGCCAAAGAAATGTATCATTGTTTACTATTGGAAAATCGTTTCTAAAAACACACAACAAAATTGTGTCACCCACGAAGCTCTAAACATCTATTTACACCACTTTCAATGTTATTAACCCCGTTTACCTGGCACGGTACGGTTAATTTTTTTGTAGTGTAAAGCTGCATTTCCTTTAGTACGGATCCGGTCCGGTCCGGCTCCGGTCCGGAAGTAGACATAGCACACGGCAGGTTGTGTATCCTTATATGCGGTTATTCAAGCGAAAGGGCCCTCTTTTCAACATGGCACCGGCATTGTCAAGGTTCGTAAAAGAAGAAAAAACATTGATAATATTGGCTGCAGCATACGGTTACGCATGCGTTTCCGTACCGAACGCTACATGGTCCGTTTCGAAAAACCGTACCGGATGCCGCATACAGAACCATATCCGCACCCGCACATAAGGAAACACTCTTACTAAAATTCTATGTGTTTTTTTCCGTATCTGCAACCGGACCGGAGTCGGACCGGATCCGTACTAAAGGAAATGCAGCTTAAACGGGTCAAACATAAGCGTGCCGCACTGAGTACCGTGCCAATCTGGCCCACTGAGCACGGTTTCAGTACGGATAACTGCGCATGCGCGAAACAAACCTTGACCTATTTTCCCGCAAACTTTGACAGTTCTGTTATCAGTTCTGTCAAAATGGCTGCTCAAACTAAATCGACCATCAACATTATTTTCATCTGGGTAATTTGTATAGGGACTGAAATTAACTATTCTGTGAAGAGTTCCACATTTGGCGTGCTTTGCATAGTTCTGAGACCGGTTATTTTAGAGTAATGTAAACGGGTCAATTTCTTGAAATTTATCGCGGCCTGGTACTGTGACCAGAACGGTACGCTTATCGCGGTCAAGTGTAAACGGGGCTATTGTTATGGTTTCGAGTAAAATGGGAATGGGGATGTTACCAAAGCTCTATTTTCTACAGTAATTACACAATGTACTTACTTTATAAGGTAAACGGAGTTCTTGTAATTTATTATTGTCTGTTGTGTCCACCATACCGATGATTTCATCAGTGACACCCGTCTGAATACCTAAATAAACACCGGGTCCTCGACCATCTTCACACAGAGACAAACAATTAGCAATAATAGTATATCTCTTTCCATTATCTGCTGAAGACGCTAAACGGAATCGCAATCTTATTTCAACAGCTTGTCTAAAGGGGAAGTCTGCGAAATGCCACATGACCATTCTGTTGTCAGTATCAAAACTTATATAACCATCGGGGCCTGCGTTTACATGGTTTGCCGTATTCAGAGCTTGCAGTCTTGAAGGCGATCGATCCAGTAAGTCATTATTGAATGGAAAATCAGCTGTCGCCTGACACCCTGCAACAGTAGATACAAACGAATAGGTTTCATAAAATAAAAGCAGAAATCCTTTTTAATAAAAAAAAAGTCGTCATTTGAAAATCGTAAATTTGAATAATTGCTCATTGCAGCTTATGTATCCTCTTGTGTATTGTCCCTGGAACCTGGTATATTTACCTTTTCCAGACCATCCGATACCTTTTGTTAATTAGCTTAATAAAGGTGAGGAAGGTGTTACATTTCATTTTCACGTAACTGACTGTTTTGCTTTTATCTTTATATCCTGGAACTGCATGAATGGTTTATGTCGTCGTAATGGGCTTTCCCAGCACTTTGACATTTTTTAAGCTGTGTTCTTCTAGATTTACATAAAAAATGATTTTGTAATTGATTACATCACAATAAAACACAAACACAAATAGACAAGAGAATAATTGAAACTCAGGTCAAAGTCTGATATGTTGTTTTTATTATAGTGTTCTTTATATATTAAGAATTAAAGAATTCTTAGCTAGTGCATTTCTGCAATCTGTTACGGGGTTCTAAGCCGTCTCCCACACCACTTCTTCCTAAATTGAAAACGATCAAGTCGATTCTTACCCGTAACTGTGGGAGCTATGATAATGGGTGTAGATGTACAAGAACAGGAAGCTGGGTTGAACCAACTAACACCAGGACACGTCAGCTGTATCCAGTTACCAGTATCTTGTAGCTGTTCAAAGACAGTATTATCGCCAACAATACCTTTCTGGTATGTACACGGATCTATTGAAAAATATAGACAGATCGATCACTAGAAAGTAAAATTGACCAATCTCACCGAAATTAGAATAAAAATTGAATAGAATGGAACCTTCTTAAAGACAAAAGGTTGGACAGTTTAATTTCGAAAATAATAGAATGACATTATCGATATATGTTACTCAAGTTGTCATAATTGTTGCTCTTTATATATCTACAATGGCTATGTTAATGTTAGACGAATCTGTCTTCATTATCGTATGTATTATCAGATTGGTCAGCAACGGATGTAATGTCCTGTGGGAGTCCAGTAGAATGAACTTGATCTAAAAGTAAGATATAGTAAACCCGACACGTTATCTTACTATAAACGAATACTTTAATTTTTGGTTGATATGACAATAGTTAAGACACCCTCTAGAGAGAGGGGGGAATTCTCTGTTGTGTTAGCTGTTTCTTTTAAAACATGTTTTAATCATTATTTGTTTACAACACTGGGGACTCGTCCGTTTAGTATTCTGTTGTTTACATTATTGGGGATTCGACGGTTGTAATAATATTTAGTATTTTAAACGAGCAATGTTATGGCAATTGCTAAAACAGCCTCTAGATAGAGAGGGGGGAAAGACTCTTTGTCGGGTTATCTGTTTGTTTTAAAACACGTTTTAATTGTTTACTTTATTGGGGATTCGACGGTTGCCAGCTTTAGTATTCAGTTTTCAGTTTGAGATATTTTTATTAAAATCGGTGAAAAAAAAAGGAAAGTTATTTTGGAAAATCTCACTTCTCCATTGTGGTGTTGTATCAACATCAGTTACACACTTATCAGTGCAGCTATTGTCTGCATCGTGAACACATGAATCAGTTATAAATTCAAACCCAGCGTTACAGCAGCTAGGTATACTCTTCTCTTGAACACATTGGTAGAAACTTCTACAGCTACCCGTCATATAGTGCTGAGATCCATCACCAAGCGTTTTACATCTGTCTGAAAATATGAATTATCAACATCTACATGTATTTTGAAATATAAACAATAATTTTTAGGGTTTTATAATTTGGTAACTGTACATATAGATCTTAAAGCGGCATTGCTGCTTGGAAACATAACTGATTACAGTGTGTGTGTGTGTGGGGGGGGGGGTATTCAACAAACGTTCTGGGAGCAAAGATGTACGGTGCTTAAAAATGAGATAGAGAAGTATCACAATCCATAATACTAAAACAATTTGACCCCCGACACCCCTTCCCCCGACCTCCATGTACATACCTCCTTAATATGGGGTACACCTAAATTAGCCAAAATATCAGTTTTCTGTCATTTCACCGCTAACAAATTTGTTTAGACTGCCTTTCACCAGCTCACATATAGGTTTTCGTGGTCTGCGAGTCTGAATATGACATTGAAAATGATCCGCGACAATCCAATATGGCGAAATCCAATATGACGGCCAAAATAGCGCCTCAATTATGTATTTATTTGCTTTTCGACCAAACATAGTGTTGTAATATGTTGGCTATTATGTATTCGAGGGCGTAGAATTCGAATTTGTGGTGATTTCGAACAGAAAGGAAACCGCTAAGAACATATTTATCATATGGTGAAAAATTCATTGATCCAAATACGATTACATAATATCATTATTTTGGCAAAGTTAGGCTATTTCAGACTGAATTCAAATCACTCATCGTTAAATCTGATTTACAAATGAGATTGCTTAGGCATGCCTTCAAATTGGCCCCATAAACAAATGCTGGCAACTTTTTATGGTCATTTAATAAACGGAAAATGTCACTTTGTTTAGTTACTGATAAGGCTTCATCTCGAACATATCTAATTACTTCGATATACAGACGCTTTTGCTTGTCCGCCATATTACTTTTCAAAAGCTCATCAACATCTGCTTCCTTTGTGAAAGGGCCACCCATTGTTTTAATCAGTTTAATCAAATGATTGTTTCACCTTTTGTCACGGAATAAGTTTGCTATTTCCTTGACAACTAGACCCTGTTGATGCAAAAGCTTCTGTTTCTCCTTCCCGGTATCCATTACAGCAGGAATTACATACTTAGCGATATTACCATATCCTCGGAAGTTATCAGAAGATTGGGATTCGATCAAGTCCTGGGATTTGGCTTTCACTTGCACAGTGGATGCACATTTCAAATTCTTAGTGCCTCGTTGCTTGAGCGCATAGTTTATGAAATCCACTGCCCATTCCGAATCTAGATTGTGTGTTGGAGCACGCTTCGGGGTTCCAAATCTTTTTTTATTATTGATTTTGATACCCCTCCACAAGTTTTAACACCGTACTAAAGGACTCGACTATTAGCACACACCCCTAGTTCTAGGAAAAAGCATAACCTGCATCGTGCTATAACTAACTGATGCCATGGTTTGGATCTGGATTTCCGTAGCCAAAGGCTACTTGGATGATATCACGACATACATCAGTCACCAATCCAGTGGTTTAAATAAAATAAAATATATCCTGGACAAACTTCATACCATTGTTAATATTTCAGTTTTCAATCATTAACTTACCATTGTTACATTGAATCTGATTAGCTGGAGCACATGAATGTGTTGCCTGAGACCAGAAGAATCCTACTTGGCAATTCATTGTAAATGCTCGGAATCCTGTACCCTGTGGAGCACACTGAACAAACATGTTACAATCACCCGGGAAGGGGTTATAGCCATAGCCGTCAAATATAACGCACCCTTCACACAACTCTAAATATAAACAATAAAAATAATATTAGATGCCTTGATTTAGCAATTAGGATCACGTCCTGATAAAATTTATACAGCGCATATTATAGACACCTTACGAACTGATTGTTATGCGACGTTTACATAAACAGCCTGCGGAAGATAGACATTATTTTCCAGTAACAAGCGATATAGTTGGATTAAAATAACTTACCTTCATCTGTCATGCCCAATGCACCTATCTGCGGATTAGCTGCAAATATAATCAAATTATCAGGCCTTAACATAAAGTTTTCATGAACTAATAAAAAAAAAAGTTTTAATACACAAATAAGTATGGTTTAGCCTTTCGTCGACATATTTGAAAACGTACGATTTAGTGGCGTCGTGCATCCTCTAATAAAACTACATAACATATTAGATTATCAAAACGATAACATTTGCTAAGTCGTGTCAGAGAGTCGAAAATAAAAAACCGGTGTTCGATAAGCTTCCATTGCCTAGTTGAATGTGATATAATACAAAAACGTAAAACGTTTAATACTTACTAGTAATTATACAAGTATCGCTACATATATCAGTTGGGTCGGGTTGGCAGGTCATTCCAGTAAACTGTTCAGCTTGATCACAACACGATACGAGAGATCGACCATTCTTACATTTATAATAACTTGTACAACTTGATCCTACCGGGAAGGCAGAACCTGCTGGAGCTACTCTACAGGGATCTGTTTTAACAAGAACATATCAATTAATATTATTGAAATACTACAATTTATAATTAGGTTAAATTAAGTAGTACTAAAATTTCAATTGCTTGCTGCTTAGGGTAATGCAATTCAAATTAATATCAATCAAATGGATTGAGTAAAACGTATTTATGGCAAATTATTTCAAATTATGGCATCATTGAGGATATCAGTTAGTTATAAGATTATTTGATCGAAATTGTATTTTGCATGTGTACTATACTGCTCGGAAACGATGCCAATAAAAATTTTATCATTGAAATCCCCAAAAAATAATAAAAATAAAATAGTTACCGTACTGGTGGGAAACGGTGCCAATAAACATTATTATCATTGAAATTCAAATAAAGAAAATAAAATAGTTACCGTATAAGCACACTACATTATCAGCAAGTTTACAGGACTGCGAGTCGATATCCCAAAATTGACCTGCTGCACATTCCCTGGCAATCGACTGGCGGACACCGTTTACCATAATACATTCGATATACATATTGCATTTGTTAGGTGCCCGCATCATTACCGGGAGATTTGAAACACTAACACTGTTACACATAATTGGAGCTAGAAAAGAAAACAAATCTCAATACATTTGGTAGAAGCCTAATATGAGACCGATCTGATTTCAACTTTCATTTAAAGGGACATTCATAGATATCTTTACAGGTTGATTTAGTGTGAAAGTTTCTCAGAAACAGAGGGTCACGGTGGCTAAGTGGGTGAGACGCTGGCTCGCTAGCCTGGAGGTCGGGTGTTCGATCCCTACATTGACCGAGAAAGTTCATCCAGATTTTCCGGCATGGTTCCCCCGTGTCAGACCTGACAAAGACAGAGTAGGCGGTAGTGCCACTGTCCGGGCAAAATTTCTCTCATGGCACAATGCATGGCGTATGCCCGTCTTCATTAGCCCAGTTCGGAGCAGAACAGTAGGACGTTAAACCCCATTTCATTTCATTTTTCCCATTCCTAGTTGTAGAGCTTTGATACTTTTTCGGTAAAATTCTTTACGTAATTAAAATAATCACTTCGATAATTATGTGGAAAACGAATTAATTAAATAATTGTTTGGCGAATTACAGTGGATCTCACCTATTTCCTGAACTTGAGTAAGTTCGACGCTAACTTGAGGCGTGGTAGGCGAAGTCATCTTAGAAGTAGTTTGGGATGTTATTGGAGATGTTACGGGTGAGGTTGTTGGAGATGTTACTGGTGATGTAACGGGGGAGGTCGTTGGAGATGTTACTGGTGATGTAACAGGGGAGGTTGTTGGAGATATTTCTGGTGATGTAACAGGGGAAGTTGTTGGAGAAGTTACGGGTGATGTAACGGGTGAGGTTGTTGGAGATGTTACGGGTGATGTAACGGGGGAAGTTGTTGGAGATGTTACGGGCGATGTGACGAGGGAAGTTGTTGGAGATGTTACGGGTGATGTAACGGGGGAAGTTGTTGGAGAAGTTACGGGCGATGTGACGGGGGAAGTTGTTGGAGATGTTACGGGCGATGTAACGGGGGAGGTTGTTGGAGATGTTAAGGGCGATGTAACGGGGGAGGTTGTTGGAGATGTTACAGGTGATGTAACGGGGGAGGTTGTTGGAGAAGTTACGGGTGATGTAACAGGGGACGTTGTTCGAGAAGTTACGGGTGATGTAACGGGTGAGGTTGTTGGAGATGTGACAGGTGATGTAACGGGGGAAGTTGTTGGAGATGTGACAGGTGATGTAACGGGAGAGGTTGTTGGAGATGTTACGGGCGATGTAACGGGAGAGGTTGTTGGAGATGTTACAGGTGATGTAATGGGGGAGGTTGTTGGAGATGTTACGGGTGACGTAAAGGGGGAGGTTGTTGCGGATGCTATTGGTGATGTAACGGCCGATGTTGTTGGTGATGTAACCAGAGAGGTTGTTGGAGATGTTACGGGTGAGGTTACCGGAGATGTTATTGGTGATGTGACGGGGGAGGTTACATCACCGACCGGTGCAGATTCAAGAACGGCTGGCACGACTAATGCTGTAAAAAAATAGAAAACATTCAGGGTGTTTACACTATCTCTACCTATTGAACTTCATAAATATTTTAAAGCAAACTCCATTGGTTTTAAAAAAAATAATGTTATGCAAATTAGAACAATAACAAAACATACTTACTTGGATCATTTCCAATACTCATGAAACAGTTGGCCATCTTGAACTACAGAAAAAAGACATTATATAGCAGTGACACAAACCATAGCAAACAGATTCTAATCGAGGTTATTGTCGTTAATGACTGACGATATCATTGGATAATTATTGGGTTTAACGGCCTACTTTTCTGCACCATCCGTGTTAAAGAAGATGGGCATACGCCAGACAATGTACTATGAGTGAATACTGGCCGGGCCGCAATTGAATTTTAACTGTAAAGGGTTCTTTTCCTCGGTTTTTACGTCCAACTCAAACGACTAAACGCTGTTCCAATACGTTTCACACTAAGCCACCATGGTCACAAATTATGGCAATCTGATAATGTAATATTCGTATTTGTGTAAAGGAAAATGAAATGAAATGAAATGGGGTTTAACGTCCTACTGTTCTGCTCCGAACTGGGCTAATGAAGACGGACATACGCCATACAGTGTGCTATGAGGGAAATTTTGACCGGACAGCGGCACTACGGCCTACTCTTATATCGAATTCCAACTGCCAAGGGATCTTTTATGTGCACGCCAATGTGTACACGGGACCTTGGTTTTTCGTCCCATCCGAACGACCAGACAGCTGTCCTTGTCAGACCCTCCGTCCTGCAACACTGACAAGGGGGAACCACGCCGGAAAATCTAGATGAACTATCTCGGCCAATGGATGGATCGAACTGTGTAAAGGAAACCTCTCCCCTCTTATCTTACCCACGCGTTATGTCCTTATGTAATGTGTTGTACACCATCTTTATGAGCTTTCTATTTGAATGCGACCACAAAAAGTTAGAACTTACATTATCTAAATCTCCGATTAATCTTACATCACCAATCATAGCCGGGATTCCAAACACTAACGGAGGCTGGCGTCGAGTTATTTGGCCTGTTCGTGGAAACTCTGCCATGACCTCGTTAATTTGAAGTTTAACCTTTGAACCATCGTAAGTAAATCGAACGTCGACCCATTCAGTCTAGAAAATTTATAAATGAGACACTCTTGACTAAATCTAATCACAAGTTTTATTGCGGGGTTTGTTGTGTTTTATGTAAATAGAAATGTAAAAAAAAACAATTAGTTTTTAGATAATTTTATATCATAAACACACCACTTTTGCACCCCTATCCCTTCCAAAATATCGAAGTCAAAAAAATATATATTTTGTATTTTCTTATTTATTTGTCTTGTGATATCAACCACGTGGCTAAACCGTTTTTATTATTTTCATGTTCATATTTACAGCGACCCTGAACATACTGCACGCTGATCAAACTATTCAATTTATAAAATACAAGGTGATCAAACTATTCCATTGAAATGAAAAAGACAATATACATCATTGATCAATGGCATGATTTGACGTTTAACGTCCTACTTTTCTCTACTAACCGTGCTAATAAGGCCGGACAAATTTTGTGTGAATGCCAAGAAATACACGGGTTGAGCTCAGTTTTTCGTACTATTCGACCGACTAGATACTTGTCTTGCCGCTGAACGAAAACATCGCATTGGTTTTTTTTTTTTTGGTTTTTTTAAAAATTAACACTGAGTGATTTTACATAGAATGTATTCTTACTGAGAACGGAAGCGACACCAACTGCATATTGACATTATCCGTTGTATCTAACATTGCTACAATAGACTTTTGAGCGCCACTTCTGACACCGATGTAAATAGAGGGTCCCATTTCATCCAAACCAAAACAATTAGCTAATATAGTATAACTGGCACCGGTATCTGCTTCTGGTGGTAAACGGTATCTAAAACTTATATCCAATGTACTTCCAAACTGCATGTTCGCAAAATACCACATGACCATTCTAGACATGGAACTGAAACTAATATACCCGTTAGGGCCAGCATCCATATGTTCAATGTTGGTAGGCGTTATGGCTATGTTATGTCCAGAAATATCTTTTAGATCAGCGTTAAATAGGTATTCTACCACTGGTTGACAATCATTGCCTGGAACTATAATATAGACCTCTATAAACGGACTGATTATGTGATTATAAGTTTTAGAATTATATGAATTTTGATATATTACTTATGATTCGAGATGAATGCAGTTTATTGTCTATGTTAGATTAACTGCAAAAGTGCAAACTAAGAACCTTAATATTTTTTTTGTGGAAAGACAATAAAAGTATAGTTAAAACAAATGCTGGTTATTTCGATTAATGATGGGTCAATTGAATTTGGCGTAATATAGTTTACTCTTGGACAAAACACATCACTAGACTGAATTATCCCTTCACAAAACAAATAATTATATCACATTTAATCAAATAAACACTTTTTACCAAATCAACGAGGACTAGGTGTGTTAACCTATATCCGTTACCACATAAATACTCACCGGCAGCAGTCGTTGACCAGCACGAGACATCACAAGAGTCATCAACATCAGCTAAACATGTGGTACCATTAAAATAGAAATCATCAGCACAGCACCTTATCTCCGTCAAACCGCCAACACATTCAAAGTAAGCCCTACAACTGTTACTCATGGGGAATTTAGATCCAGAAGCAGCAGTTTTACATTGTTCTGTAAAGCACAAAAACTACAAGTAGATCCATCTAAAGATGCTGAATTTGGGTGACTTGCGTTTTATTACGCAATCGAAATTATACATTTTTATTTTGAGATGGCATTGCGTAAAGGTACACGATGCTTACGATGCTAGAAATGCTCTGTGCATATAAATGTTTACGATACACTATTTTTGATTTATGTTAAAACTGTCGCAGTAAAGGCAAAAATAGTGTTCTTATATATAACCACTATGGTTAAAGCTACACCTACGCAATACAATTTCCCCATATCTTATAATAATTAACTAGATATTAGAGAATATATTTTATTTTCCGCATCTTGGTTCCTTCTTATTAAACAATGTTTACTTACCAATTTGGCAGTTGACATCAGTAGCATGCCTACATGCCATGTCGGCCCAAAATAGCTTGTGCGGACAGGTCTTTTTGAACTTCATCATGGAACCGCCGATATTAGCGCAGTGAATATACATGCTACAGTCCTGCGGATACGACACAAATGCTTGGGTGGTTACACCAAGACACCATTCTGAAAAAAAATGTTAATGTGCCATGGTGGATGACCCTCGATTGAATTATCACAAGCAAGAACAACCCGGACGATTTACCCAATACTGCGAACTTGTGTATGCCAATAAGGTAATATGTGGTTGTTGTTTTTTTTTGTATCTATTGTGTTATAATGTGGTTATATTGGGAATTGCTTCAGTTGCTCGGCCTAATGATACTATAAATAGATATTCCAGTTTACACGATTTTTCTAATTCAGGGAATATGTATTCCATATGTGTTTTGAATCATAATTGCGGGTGGTATGAGGTATTTAGTAGTATTGGGTGGTATTGGGTAAATCGTCCTGCCGAGAAAGAACATTGTCCAAATTCGAGTTTATCTTCAAATGGAAGTAAATATATATACATGTAGTGTTTACTATCAAAATAATACACACGAACTAGTTTTCTAATCAATATTTCCCCGATACAAATTTGCATTAGCAGATATGTTTTAAGCAAGGTATACAAAAAAGTAATCTTTCAGTGACATTTATTGGTTGGGCGCAATACAAAAACACTTATGGTGAAAACAGTCATTCGGATGTACACATATAGCACGACGTTTCGACAAGCGCCCTCTTATCAAATTGTGTTAAACATTTCTTACAACTTTACCTGTAGTTGACTGTCGTATGAAGATTGGCCTGATACAGTAACATACAGTATCATCATATATATCACCAGCAGCACAGGTTACTGTTATCCACTGGTTTAATAAATTTAACGCTTCATATCTTGTATTGTCTCCAGGAATAACCCGACGAGTTGAACACATACCCGGAAAAGATAAAAAAAAAAATGTAAACATGAATTAGTGGAAACGAAAATTCGACTCAAATCGCAATTTCCAATATTTGTTTCGGATGTCAGTTTCTGTAATTCCCATACAAAGGCCGAAAACAATTATAATCAGTATTCGAACATCTTTATAACGGATGATATGCCAGTTTTATTAAATGGGCTAAACCTCTTTGATTTAGATCAAAATAAATCATTGAACTTTGCTTATCTGATGTCTTATTTTAATAGTGGTGGGACTAACTCTATGCCATTACATATGTTTTCCACAGATTAAGCACAAGTCGGAATTTTTTACTGAATTTGATTTATTTTTTTACTTTATCTATAGTGGTAATATATTCAGCCATGACAGATTTTCACCCCACAGAAAAAATCAACATAGAAAATCCAGTGAAATCGACAATTTTATTTTTGACCCAAATCGAAAAGTCAATTCAATTATTTCATATATTTGTATGGGGATCAGGTAGCTGGCGTGCGCAAACTATTTTATTCTCTGCTATAATCTTCAAGTAAGGACGGGGTTGGTTTACGTTAATATGCCAAAGTCACTTACTTGGGGTTCCAGAACCAGCTATGACACACTGATCGTTACACATAGTACCAACGTCTTGTGCACACGCATCTGTTGAAAACACCTGACCAGCTTCGCAACAACCCGCTATACTTCTACCCCCTTCACATTTATAATAACTTCTACAGTTACCAGAGATAGAATACCTACTATCATCAGCTAATGATTTACAGGGGTCTGAAACAATTATATTTGTATTATTTTATTGGCGAAAATCCGGTGGCTGTTGTATAACTATTTTAACAACAATATAATGCCTTTCTCTTTTAGAGGTAAGTTCACCAACTTTGTGTGAGTTGTTTTTCTAGGTTATGTTTTTGTTTGAAATATTTCTTGAAGTTTAAAACTTAAATTTACAAATTATCTTTTCAATCAAATCTGTAAAACATGACTAACTAACCAGGAAGTTATAAATATCCAAAATAATTAGATTACATCAGCTGTTTTAAAAATAGTAACAGTCAATGTCAATATGAACCAGCGTTCCTTTGTGTGTCTTTGGGATAATAAATAAATAGTATACCTACCATATTTGCACATGGCTTGTTGAGCAGGGACACAAGTTACAAGCATTGGATTCCAAAACTGTCCTGCGCGACAATGCATTGCATGAGCTGTAATTTCGGTTCCCGTAGCTGTACATTGGACGTACATAGTGCAGTCCCCAGGGTACGGGTTGTAGCCAACACCATCAAAGATAGCACATCCTGTACACATATCTAGATAGAAAACATTAAAGGTTGAATCATACGAACGATACACTGTTTGTTTACCTCCGCTTGCAAACAGACACGAAGTTAATTTTAATTCCTACGTGGGCAATTTAGTCGAAACACTATACTTTCATAATTTTGCGAAGTATTTAGGCCTATTAATCCTCCTTTTAATAAGATCGGAAATGTTTATCTAATCTTTGTGTGCAGGAAAGATGTAAAACGGGATTATAAGCATATTACAAAATTTGAATATGACGGCAATCCAGGGCAGAGATCTATTCTGAAAGTAAATAGTTCTCTGTGTGCAGAATGAGGTTGAATGTTAGTTTTTTTAAAATTCAAATGTGAATATTGGTGTTAGACTACTAATAATTTTTAAAATATTTAAATCTAATAAATTTGATGAATGAGCAATAAACAGCTCGTAGCAAAAGCAGAAGGTAACTCGTTTAATAGCCAGACCAATGAGTAGCTTTAATTTATTTCACGACCTTACCTGGTGTCGTAATAGCAACTGGATCCGGGTCTATAACTAGAAACGGAAAAAATATCAAATTTTACATAACAGGGGCTACTGTTTTAAATATGTGAATGGTTGTCTCAATAAATAACAAAAATACGGAGCAGAAACTAGTTCCTTGTGGAAGTGGTGAAGCCGATCAACCAATCGACATTCATTATTGAATCAAAAATGCCCTTTTGGACATGGTCTCCATATTAATACAATGAACAAACAAACTGAAGTCTTCTGTATTGGGTAAAACAATCTTTACGTCAGTCACCCAGGACACCAAACTGTAGTCATATTGTGTATGGTCGTTTTGTATTAATCAAATAGTTATGAGTGTAACATTTTAGTACCTTGGTTACCGTTTAAGAGTTTACAATTGTTGTCAATAGAATTTAGACGTGTGTGATATAATAACTGGCTACTTCAGCACACCAGAATTTAATAGCTCATCCTCGCAGAGGCAGGTTATTTTTTCGAAGTTAAGTTTAAATTTTCTTTTTCATTTTTATCCTAACACACATGCTATGTAAAACTTTAATTATCTATAGGTTATGGGTTGAATAGCCCAGGTCTGTTCTCCTATCCTTTTCATTTACGAATAAAATATTGTTTATAGAAAAAACATGGGAAATTTAGTCTTATGCATTTATTTGTCGTCTACACTTTTTAAAATTCATTGCTCCCAGCACCATAAGGCGCGGTTAAAAAATGAATAATCTGTACGTAGGTATGCATTTATAGCTCTGGGGTCATATGAGTTCATATGATTGAACTCCACGATTTGGCTGCTGTGAGGCATTAAATTATAGCTTAAAGCTAGTTGATTTAATTCTAAACACCGTATCTCTCAGTGCAACTGGATGATTATATTGCATATTGCCCCGAGTACTGTACAAGGCGCGGCCGAATGCTTCAAACCCTATAACTTTGTGGATTCCTGTAAAGTTGTTTAAGCGAGATAAAAAATAGAAGTTATTTGAACACTGATA